CTCCAGTTCCCCCTAATCAGTTAGGTACCATCAGTCTTTCCGTACATCATCATATACTGTCGCTGGCATTGATAAAAGGCAAACGATCAACAAATAAAAAGTTATCACTCTACATGGATACATTGGTCTTATCGCCAACAGCCCTAATCCATTCTACTAAACAAGCCCAAAAAAAAAACCTAAGTAAAATGTTTTGCTAAATATTGTTGTTAAATAGTCAAGGAATGTTAAGGAACATATATACAGCAAGCGAAATACTTCCTTTAATCATTTTGTTATCTGGCAGAATAGGAACGTCGAGATTGGCGACAAAGGAACTTTATAAGAAGACGTAGAATGGCTCTGTAGAACGCTCTGAATCCTCTCCATTATTTTGCACATTTACGGAGAACGAAAACAAAAATATGTATATAGCGTTCCATGAACACTTTTGCGAAGTTTTGCGGGACAAAGGCGGCGTAAAATAACGTAAAGCGCGACGTAGCTGTCAAATATTAAGTTTACTAACATTTATTAATGCAATTATTTTTCAGTAATCATTTCTAAGGTCGATGGCGGGTTTTAATTGAAAAGTGAAAGAGCAGATACGATTCAAGACAGATGGGAAAATTCGCAAACGTTTGTATAGTTCTTCGCAACATTTGCGTTCACTACAAAGTGCAAAATACGGAAATTCGGGAATTAATTCCTACAGCTCCCGTAATTTATTTTGAGGATGGTATTGAACATTTTGAGCCTAGAAGCCTCCTAATTCAGACGAAGATAAGACAGAAAACAAGAAGCAACATACCTTCTCGACTTTCAGATCAAATTGTATTAAAATAGAAGACATTGGAAAGATGTTTTATGAAAACTCTAAGATGCTTTATGTGCTCTAAGATGTTTTATGAAAATTAAAAAGTTGCCTTTTTACTTATATAATGCAAACCTAGAATTGATTTGATCCGCCTGGGTGGCCGAGTAGGCAAGATTCTCGACTAGCAACTCAGGGGTTGTGGGTTCGAATCTCAAGTGCGGTAGAGTTTTTAATAAAAGGCCGATAGCCTTAGATGCTAGTGCTTTTAAGAGTTTAGTCTTAGAATTTATTTCTCTGGCGAAATTAATTAATAATAATAATAATAGAATTGATTTGCAATTCATGTTAAAACATTATGCATTCTTTGTACGTATATCGATATGTTAATATACAGCATAAATTAAAAGATATAAAATTGAAAGTTTTCCTAGGAAGTGAATTTATGAAATTATTTTTCTTCATTTTCTTTTGTGAAAAATTTTATATAATTTTCTTTTGCACTTTAACATGATGCTTGTTCGTGAATAAATAAACGGCAAATTTGCCCCTTAATTTGCCATTATTTATTCGAAATACATTTCGAATGGCGAAAACCATACATATTTCACAATAAAATGACTTTCAAAGCACGCCGTCCAGCTGATAGCTATTTAACTAAGAGCTATGTAATCAATACATTGTTTTTTTATTTATTGTTGGCATCATCATCATTTTTATTAGTCAAGTTAGCAGAAAACTTGATATCAAGAGCTAAAGGAAATTAAAAATGTAGAATTGATTCCGCTCCATATTTTCGTTTCAATTCATTCTATGTAAAATTGCATTTCTCCTGCCAGCTCTAATTGTAATAGTATGCGACAAGAACACCAACAACGTAAGTGATTATTAGCAACAAAATGGTTCGATTCAATCAAAGCGCGTAAATTTCGCTCAGTTCTTAAATAACAAAATGATATTGATTGAGCATCATGTATGTGGGTGGAAATTATGATGTGCATAAAACAATAAGCTGACATCTATTATGAATTAAGCAGAGACATAACTAAAATGCTTTTGTCTTGCAAAGCAAGTCGTATGCAATAAATAGAATGTTTCGCTTTTCAATTGTTGACGCGATTAAGGAATGTATATGAAATCATTATGAGATTTTTAAAAATAAAAATGATGACAATATAATGTAGCAGCTAGAGCTATGAATATTTCTACAAACGTAGCATTTGTGTCGATCATCCGCGTTAGCGTTTAATATAATAACACACGTAATAATGCCTTTGCATCAGCATCAACTAATAATATGCGTCGGTTTCATGAAATGCGTAGACTTTTCTTGAGCATTTTCACCATTTTTTGAATCACGTTTGTCCACACGTTTGTCTATTGTATTTGCGTTTTCATCAAAACTAAAAATTTTATATACGCTTTACCGGAGAAGATCTATTCATTATATGCATCAGAGAGTAACAAATATAGTCCATTGTCGATTTATCTGGTTTTCGAATTTGACGCAGAGATGCCTTTTAAAAATAGTTGTATCCAGATAATGGATGACCACACACAGCAATAGGGATACAACCAAAACTTGGATGGAAAGTTAATAGGTTAATAGCCACCCACCACATATTCACCTGACATAGCTCCATTGAATTGCTATTTATTCCTTAGGATTTCCTGCTTAGGATTTACTTCTTTCAAAGCTGTTTCCTTGACAGTTGGTGCCTATTCTGGGTCCAAGAATGTGAACATCTACTCTACGCGGATCGTGAGCGGAAGTAATGGAAATTTTTAGTGGAAACATTTCACGGAAAATGCGATAAAACTTTTCCGTCCGTATATATATATATATATATATATATATATATACCAAATCGAGTACGCCTCTTAAAAAGACAAAGATTACCGTATGTTCTTGAAGTAATTTGATCTGTTTACAACAAAACTATTCATTATGACGTATGGACCGCCTTTCAGATTCAAGATTCAAGAAGACTTACGTAATCACGTAAATGCTTCGGCAATATATTTTCTAGATGAAACCAATGAGATAAGGAGATTGAGAAGACATAAACTGGATCTTTCATTTAGAAATCAACACATTTTTGCTCCTTAAATTATTTTAATAAGCTTTCAAACTTTATTTCATTTCCTTCCATTCATTTAAACATCACATCTGTATTGTTACTTTGCTCTCTACCTTGATCTCTCCTTACCATAGCATTTACTTACTATCTTCTTGGATATATTGCAACTTAAATGTATGATAAGAAAATGTTTGCTTCAGATTTGCTTAATGTTGAATATCTTGCGAACATTAATTTTGCCAAAATGCTGGCGAAATACAGAAGTTAGCTTCAGACGCCCGTAGATTCTTGATCGGTTTTAAATTCTGAAACGATCCGGGCATTTCCTTCTATCCATCTGTGAAATGTCTACAGCAAGCACTCTCCACTCGTTCTGCTTATCCCCGCAAAGCTCGCGGACACATGTCAGCAATGGAAAAGAAACAAACTGTTTTGAAAAGCAAAAAATTTACTTGCTTCCCCGTTACCCATAAACCACGACTGATAACAACGACAGAAATGTCTTTGCATATTCAATCACCCTACATTACCTATATAAAAATAGGAACATCGGCCACCCAATCTTATAATTATAGGATACATCGAGATTTAATTTTTTGTTTTTTTTTCATTTTTATCATAAAGATAAAGTTGGTTGGTATATAAAAGATTCAACGGTTGATAAATTTAATTTTTTCAGTTGCATTTTATACATATCACTGAAAGATGAGGAGTATATTAATTTTGTTAAAACGTTTGCAACGCCCAGAAGTAAACTTCAGAGATCCTCTAATGTGTATGTATTCTTGACTAGCATCAAATTCTGAATCGATTTAACCATATCCGTCCGTCCGTCCAACTATCTGCCCATCTGGGTAATGTCTGTTGGCAGAAACATTAGAGATGCGACCTGTAAGAGCTCTAAAGATTAAGTAAAAGTCGAAATTAATCTCTTTCTTGTTATGCTTTGATGCTCCAATGCTCTTCTTACACACATTGAGTATCTCACTTGAAAAAAAAAAAAAACGAGAACAACATCGAGATAATGTTGTACAGAATCGAATCCCTTTGGTCTGTTATTTAACAGAATTGATTCCCTTTTGTCGATTAAGTTGGGCATTTGGTCTGTTATTAAACAGAATCGATTCCCTTTTGTCGGTAAAGTTGGGCGCATGGTCTGTTATTTAACAGAATCGATTCCCTTTTGTCGATTAAGTTGGGCCTTTATCATTAGCTGCTTGGCGTTAACATTTTTGTTAAGTTGGGCATTTAACCATTTATTTATGATGCCTACCACGATACTCAAGGATGGAAAACCGCGCTTATATGCTTAATGTCTCTTTCTCGGTTATAACATTAATTTAATGTGCAAAGCAGTTGTAGGAATTGAATAACTAGAGTTTTTTGCCGGCAGGTTGGTATTGAAAATGGAACAAATCGTTTGAAGGACAAACCCACAGTACCAACCCAAGCAGAGAACTCCTCTGTTTTTCAAATGAGAAAAATTGACCACATCTACCTAATATTGTAGTGAATTAACATTTAATTTTTTCTTCAATGCCTTTATAAAGCGAAGAAACAAGCTTCAAAAATCCCGTAAAGTACATAAATTCTTGGTCAGATTTCCAATTTAGAATTCACCTAAGCATGTCCATCTGCCCAACCGTGTAGAATCTATGGCAACGATTCTACCGCTAGCGAAAAAGAAGACAACGCCTACAACTTTATAAAGGAATTTAGAAGCGAACTAAGCTTTTCAAAGCACACGGCTACGAAGCCAACAGGCCTACGCGACACAAACTTTTATTTCGAAGGTAGAAAAAATCAACCGCGTCCATTCTATATTAAAGTGCATAAAAATTTGGTTTTAAATTTTTTTGCCTTTTTCACAATAACGGCAATGGGTATAAAAGATTCGTTCACGACCGAGTATAGTTTTCTTACTTGTTATAGTATATATGTCTTTTTAGACTAATTTTGCATTAGAATGTTTTGTATATGGTAACTATGCCTTTTTAAAAAAACTTTCAACTTATTGCAATTTTGTAACAACCAAAATCTCTTTGAGGATTATTTTTAAACGTTATGTGTGAGCGATTGATATAAAAAACTCTACAAAAGAAAATGAAATCATTTTTAATACTTACATGATTCTCATATGATGGGCGAGCCATTATGATAGGTTATGGCAGCAATAAAATTATGACAAGTTTAATAATAAAAATATAAGCTTCTGCTTTTTTAAAATTGGACACTAAACACCGGCCAATTTATGTTTTACTCCACAAGCGATGATTCCACATATATAAATATAAGTTTTGTTATTGTTTTTTTTATGTATTTGAAGGGGTGATTCCGTTCTCCAGAATTATGTAATTACTTTTCATGTAGTCACCGATGACGCTTTTGCTTTTTAATGGAATAGTTTTCAAAAGTCGTTAAAATTTTATTCAAGATAACAAATTCATTCATAAAACATTGAATAATAACGTTTCTTCTTTTGCTCGTTTTTAGTTCAATGCACTTAATTAGAAATTTAAAAATTTTACGCTCTGCTGACGGTTTACTGCTATTTTCTCATGAAATATGGGTGGAACAGCAATTTTTACAAATCTTCACTTCTAACAAATGATGCCAAAATAAGGAACACATGTAGGTATATATTTTCAAGGTTTTAACAACTATAACAAAAAACAACACAATCTAACTCAATTGGGTTAGTGAAAAGGAAAGACACAGAGTTGTCAGACTGCTGCCCATCAATTTCAAACGGGCTATGCAATATTGGAGAACTGTCGAAATTGACTAATTTTTCTCTTCGGTTGAACTAATTACTCTCCCAAGCGATTAAGAGATGCTTTCGTGATGTTTGTTATTTTATTATATATTAGCCCTACACACAACTCTGCTTTCAAATCAGTACCTATTATAAGAATGGATAATATGTTTCAAGTCCATTTCAAGCACAGTATTTCAGTAATAAAATGTAATCATCTACAGATATTCGAAAAGTTACAGAGAAATTAAATAAAGCACTGAGCATGTGTCTTATATTAACGTATTCTAACAACGAGAGAAAGATAATCTCTTTTCCTTGCATTATATGTAATTATCGTTTGCTATTATTTATTTTGAAAAAATAAATGGAAAATACAGGGCGAACTTTACGTCTATTTGTTTATAAACAACCAACATTGTGTAAGCAACGACAGTATCATACAGAAATAAATATTAAAACCATTATATAAAATTTGTGTGTTATATATTAAATAATAACCACTTTCAACAAACCAATACAATATACGTGCGAGAATAAAACATACAGCTCTGGAAGACAGTATGAGGACATTGCATCTCTTATAGAAATTATTAATAAGAATCATTCCGTCCACACTTTCCTCTTTTTTTGAATGTTTAGTTACGAAGAAATTGTAAATACTTAATCAATGTGATTGGGAATGACAATTTAAAACATATTTCTTGCAAAATTGTGCGTTTACAAGTTAATCTTTATATGCTAATAGGATGTTATCGCTTATATGCAAAGCACAGCGAACTAATTTTGTCTTTTTTGCAATTACTCTATGTGAGTATTAAAGCAGTTAAACACTTCAGACAGCGGGCACGTAAACATAGGTACGCATTAGATATGTAATTAGGAAGTGTATGTGTGTAACATATTCAGAAAAATGTATGCAAGCATAAGAATAATAAAGTAACACACACAAGAAGAAGGTACATATATGTGGAGAATTCAATTGTTTTTGTATGCGATGGAAAATCCAAGAAGCTTTCTCGCAAACAGACTGATTAGCTAAGCGTGAGCAAAACGCCTTTTTACAAAATAATTCAAAGGTTGGAGTTACTCTTCCATTCTAGCGACCTTAAAAAATTAATAAATATATGTAGACTATATTAATATTTTTGAAATACAAATGTAGTACTAACCTCTGCACAAACCAATGCATTTTTCCACAACGCATCTATTTTTACAATGCATATCGCTGGATTTCTTTGAAAAGTTGGGTCTTGAAAGAAAATGTAACAGAAAAGTGTATGGAATATGGAAGAAAATAAAATCTCGATGTCTAGCTATGTAAATGAAACCAAGTTTTTGTTTTCAAGGACACTGGGTCCTGATTATGTATCTTTTAGTTAACTACCTCTCGGTTGTCTCAGGCTACTCGGCCTACTCCATTTTGTTGTGAATAATATATTTGCCTTTCTTTCTTTATATTAGTCATTAATGATATTTAACATAAGATTTGCCAGTGGTGTCTATGGTATATGTCAGTAATTCTTCGCTATGATCTGTTGCTATATCGGAGAAATTTTCGTTCTCTTTTCGTTATAGCTTTCAATCGATCGTCAGCGTCGTCTGACGATAAAGATATGGGAAATTTTTACGCTATAGAGCTAATGTCGGGGGGTTTTAAGGCAAAAAAAAAGCTAAAAATTCCCTTTCATTTGCGACAAAATGTTATACCTTTTGCGACAATATCCTAGAAATCATTGCTATGGTCACCAGTCATAAGTTTGAAAAATTTACCAGCTTCAGCCATTACGTGATATTGGTATCTTGCCTAATAGATTTCGGAAGTAATTCCTAAAAAATATTGTCAAGTTTTCGAAATCCTGAGCCAGTGTTGCTATCGTTTGCTGCACATCTCTTAAATTGTTGTTTCTTAGGCCAATTGATATTTTCACCATTATGCGAATTAGGTGGTTGTTCAAAATGAGAACTTGATGGATCAATGTCCATAAATGCGGTGTGGTCATACAGACTATTACGTTGATTTTTAGCGTAATAAGGATTCTTTGTCCTTGATTATCTCAATCATTTGGTAGATTTGTCTGATTTCTGCTAATCGATTCCACCAGCCTTTTTCTGCCCTCACATCTATTGGCAAAAGTCGCTGTAGAAATGTAGTGTTCATGATGTGCTTTAACTGCTTGAGCTAAAACTAAAAGCTTGAGCTGAAGGTAAATGAAACGTACGAGATGAAAAAAGAATGTCACACAATGGTTTTCTTGTCTATATTTTTCATTAATGCTAAACTCTATCATATGGGATTGTCGATTTGTTTGTTAGCGACGAAACTTATCCAACAATCGTATCGTAGAACTAAACGACTTTTTGAGAACTATGTATTGAAATACTCAGCTTTTGTTTAATCACATAAATGGGTCGTTTGTCAGCATACATGAAACCTAACGTAGCTATTATTGCCGAGAAATTAAACGCTGCATTAAAGACGCCAGCTCGATGTCTTCCAAGCCCTTTATTTTCTTTCTAACTATTCCAGTTACCTGCTGGTGTTTGGAACTAGCATCACATTTGTCGAAATCTTTGTCCCTTTGTGGGCAACATCTTTGCTCCTTCATATATCTTCAGTTTTATCCTCTCTGCCGAAAGTGATGTTCGAGATTGGACAGTTCATTTTTTTTTTTTTTACCGAAGACACCCTTTCGTGACTGTAATGCTACTCGCATTGCAATTTCTACTAATTGCGAGATTTCTTTATATTCATCATTTTTGTTTTCTTAACTATCGTGGATGTTTAGTTTCGGCAAGTTTCAGTTTGCCATATTCACAAAAAGTAAAACTAGAATTAGAAAACTAGAACTAGTATTACACCCACAAGTCTTTCTTAAAAGAACAAAATAAAAAAAATAAGAACATATCTTGCTTCAAAAAAAATACAATAAATACTGTGTTATAGCTAGCGATAGCTCTGCTAGGGTTGAGTCCTTTCTGTTAGACATCAATTATAAAGTCTTAATGTTCGTGCTTTTATTTGTCAGTTTATTTACAAAAAATATTATTTGAAGTTCGTATTTTAGTTTTTTCCCTGCTTTTTTATTTGTCAAAACGTATCCGGTGAGAAAGCTGTCAGCCGAACATAATACAATTTTCGGATTCTCACCACAATTATATTGCTGGCGGCGGCCTTTTTTGGTGATTACATTTGTTAATGTGTCAATTTGCACACATATAGCAACAAATTCGAAACTCGAAAATAGAACATAGCTAACACCATACATGTACGCTTTGCCAACTGTCCTTCACTCCAGCGACAAAAGCTAGATAATCTGTTTTTTCCTCCATTATATATATAACGTTATATGACTATCGTTTCTTGTTTATTCCGAAAAAAATAAAGATAAAATACGGGGCAAATTTAAAGTTTATTTGTTTATAACCAAACAAAAACTACGTAAACAACAGCAATACCTTTATAAAAATAAGTAAACACAGAATTATATATATATCAATTAAAGTCTAATCGATCTCTATTAAATAAATAAAAAAAAATCTTTTTATTTTCAAAAATAAATCTCTGTTTTCCCTGCCAAACATACAAGAAAAATTTTCGTCAACGCAGGCTCCACTGCAAGCTATATGTTGCACTGCATATAAGTACACGCACTCACTTTTGTTTTGACAGTTCGTGCGCCAAACACAACGCATAACGGAATCATCGTGTTTGCGATTATATTTACTACGTTAAAATGGAAACGATCAACTACTCCACATCATCCATTATCAACTAACGCTTGACTGTAATTTTGGCATCCGCTATTCTGACATTTCGTTGTAGCCAGAAAGCGCGCGACCAGAAATGCTCGCGCTTTGCGTTAGGATTGGTTATTTAAATAAGTCACCTTATATGTTTGTTTGTTGGTTGGTTCTGCATCGTGCATGTGATAGAATTCAGCGTTGGTTGATGACCATCGGTATTTTGGGATTACGCAGACACAACAGTTGTTAAAGACACTTTCTTATTCTTCTTATTCTTCTTCTTCTTAGTTAGTTGCTGTAGAGTTGTTTTCACCAAATCCAATTCGGTTTGTAAGAAGGAAGACGGCACAACAAATTCTTAAATATTAGGCAGAATGCTTCGACACATCATTCTTTACCATAGTGGTGGAAGAGGATGGACTTATATTGGCATGGCATGGCAGCGATGGCCCATCATGCCCCTTATGTTGCTTGAAGCTATGTAAGTTTTTTTTGAATATATTTGCAATATACTCATGTATTTATTTATATTGTTGCATGTAGATTTCTGTGAAAGTTTCGAGTGCCGAAAGCAGGTCTCAAGCACGTGCCATAAATAAAACGATGCTTTAAGGACAACATGCATACCGCTGCTTATCCTCTTTTTTTTTTAAATAAATTAAATAATATACATTTTTTATTCTTTCTACTTCGTTAATTTCTACTTCATTTTGCCAGCTGAACCAACAAACAGAAGCCAACGATTAAACTTTTCAAATAAGAAATCATATATGTAAAAAAGCAATCAAAACTGAATTATTTTTCAAATTTGAATATAAAAGAAAATTTCTCTCTTTTTTCTGTTTTTTCATTTACATATGACGAATGATGGGAACGAAAATGACACACAAGTCTTACGTATTTTCAAGAAAAACTTTTATTTTACCTATTAGCTTGTCGGCGAGCAAAAATTAACTTTCAGATACGGGATTCTGCTGCTGTTTCGCTCCATAGCTAACAGTTCGTTTTCATATTTTATTTGGATTTTGGACCTGAGCTTTTACTGAAAAATTGAAACGAAACGTAACATTCTGTCGTATTGCAACAAAAATATTTATTAACTATTAGCTTGTCGGCGAGCGAAAGTTAACTT